AAAAAAAAAAAAAAAAAAAAAGAAGTCCCACACCGGAAAGCCGCGCCGGACTCACAGCTCTGGATTAGTCCCTCAACATACAACAGCTCCATCATTCCCCTCCCCTCCCGGGAGAGTCGCGCACCTCCATCCTTCACCCCYTCATTCAGGACTTGGCTGCAGAAATCTGCTCCTCATCTTGAGCGAGGAGAAGAGGGCTTAGATCTGCGGAGCAACACATTGCCTACAATGGCAACCGGTGCGCTACTTCTTGCCTGCGCGCTGCTTGGTAAGTGATGAGGAGATGAGATGGAAAAAAAGAAGATTTTTAGGTTGTTTCTCTTCTTAATGTAATTATTATTAGTATTTTTCATTTCTGGCGCAATATTTGACAGCACCTGTGTGAGACAAGATGTTGCTGGGAGAGCAATAAGTCATCATGAGTCAGGTGGAAAGCAGGGCACATCTATGATTTCATAATAACAGATGCGTGGACAGCTGTGTGTGTGAGTGTGAGTGTGTGTAGTGAAGTAGGTTAATGTGATAAGTGCTTAAATTTACTCTATATCATTGGTCCTGATCATAAACAACCTACTGCTGTTTGAAGCCTATAGAAATGCACTGTGGGCATACAGACAGTGATGACACATCAGCAACATGCTCTGATGAAGTAACTCACTCTTCAGGTGCTCAGATGTCAAGACTCTTCTCTGTAATTTACCAGATTTCAGACAGACACAAGTTGGAGCAGGCACATCCAGATGACACACTGAGCTGTTACTAACACACTCTCACTGACACACACACACATATCCTGCATGCAGAGCTGTCCCAAACAAACACCAGATGGCTTTTCTATGTTCCTGGATGGGATGGCAGAGACAAGGGGAGTGGGGGTGTGTGTGGAAGTGGATGTAGGCCTGCTGGAGGCCCCCCCCACTCCCAGCCAAGAGGATTACTCTGCACCTCGCCTCGAGTCAACTTTTAGTAAGTGGGATTTCACAGGGGCGAAGGCGCGAAAAGTTTCATCCTTTGCGAAGATGGGTTGTTTCTTTTTTAGAGATCTAATCTGGAGCAAGAGGAGCGCTGGGGGAAGAGAATGACTTCTTTGTGTTACATAATCATGAATCCACCAGAATCATGAGGTGGGAAAAGACAGCTCAGGTGTTAGGAGGATGGGTTTTGCTTCAAATGTGATGCATGCGGATATTGCAAGGTTTCTCGTAAATTCTGGACATCGTACGGCATGACAACTGCAAAAGCTGCCTTTTTTCTAACAGAATGAGATGGTTTTTGTATTGCTCTTACGTTGTTTAAACTATGTTCCACAGTAGCATCTACTCCACCATTTTCTACCAATTCTGTTTGTTTCACACTTTATTTTATATCTCCGATCATCAACCCAATGTGACAGGGTCCCCTCCCCCCATCCCCCCATCTGAGATCTGCTGGTATCATCTACACCATTTAAATGCATATTATTTACCAATGAAATCAACTCTTATTTGCAACCCTAAAGCAACAGATCAGATGTTGAAGGTGGGGTTCTGTGAAAAGGTTGGAAACAATCAGTATCTTACTTGTTTTTGATAGATCTTCTTTTTGAAAAAAAAAATCAAAGTGTGGAGACAAACATTCATGTTGACAAGTTAATACACTGAACAAAGAACATCCTAAAGTGGATTGCTGCTGTCTTGAAACCACAAAGCTCTCTCAAACATCTTGTTTGCAAGTCAAGCTCTGTGTAAACAATACTTTACAAATCGTTCAACTGCTCTGAATTTAAGAGCAAACAGCAGCATCAGCAGCTAGCTGTAGCCCCGTGTGATGCAGTGTGATATGGGGTGGACAATACTAGGAATTTTGGTATCAATCAGTGTTGCCGATTCCGATGCCATTATCGTTAATGTCATGTTAATTGAATACGTTTGTGATTTTGCCTTTAGCTAGTCATTTATGATAAAACTACAACAATCATAGTTTCGATACCCAGTCCGCCGACCAGAAGTAGTAGCCACACAACCAAATTGATTAAACACCGCTCTGGTTTCTGTCTCTGTTTTGAGACACTGTGGTGGACTTGTGACCTGTCCAGTGTGTACCCTGCCCCTCGCACTGTGACTAGGGCTGCAACTAACGATAATTTTAATAATCGATTAATCGGTTGATTATTTTTTCTATTAATCGATTAATCGGCCAAATCATTAAAACACTTAATTACATGAATGTGAGTAGATATAAATTAAGTTAACTCCTTAAGGATGCAAGTTATTGATAATGAATTATTCTGAAGTTGATTTATCTTATAGATTGATTAACAATTAATTAATAAGCAGCCATTAAAAAAAAACAGAGTTTTCTCTTGAATTAAGAGGGTCTTCCCATAAAATGAAGGATTTTTTTATAATCTCCTGAATTAAAAAACAGAAGCACATAATACATATTTTAACAATTCATTTTGCCAGCTGTATTAAATACTGACTGAAAAAAATG